CGTATACGCCGGGGAGGCTATTGCTGAGAATGAAATGCACACGGAGATAATTGTTAGCTGTGGTCTCACACGCCAGGGAGCGGGAGTGTAAACGACTGAGGCTCGCATACGTCATCGTTACTGGAATTGAGGCAGAATGAGTGACAAGCGATTTCAGTGCTAATTGGTAGGGAGTAGATACGAGGACGTGCGCGGAGTTTCATGTGTTTGTGCTATGGTCACGTTGCATTCTTCAAGAGTCATCCTAGCAAATGATGATTGTAATGCAATAGGTTGCCTTTAACTGGAAGGCGGAGGTCGTTATTGATGTGTGAGATTGTGCTGTGAGTATGCTTGTGGTGTGTTGGCTTTTCTGTTTGTTTTCCATTTCAGCTCTGTCCGTGTGACCCAGGTTCTCGCAATGGCATCCAGGTCAACGTGTATTGGTGGTGATGGAAAAAAGGAATAGAACCTTTTTTGCCGGGGAGTGTCAATGTAGTTGAAGATTGAACGATCAATTCATGGTTGTTTGCTCAAAACCAACTTCCCCAATTTTCGCGGAGGTATCAATACGACAGTCATCGTCTCATCGGTCGCCGTTCAGAAAGAAGAGTAAAACACCGTCAGAAACCTTAGTCATACGTGATTTATATGTTGGTGTTACAATAAAGAATCCTCGAGTCAACAATTGGTGTTTTGGTTTTTTCGTCCGTTATTACTAAGCGTTTCTGAGAAACTTCAAGCGACAGCGTGAGGCCGAGCGTAGCAAGAGCTGGCCATTGACGGTTTACGAGACGTGGCTGACATGCCTTTTTTCACTACTAGTTCGGGTTTAGCACTTGCATCTGATAGTAGGTGGGCTTCACTCTGATCAATTACACTGACTGTTTGACAAGTATGCATGCCTTCTGCAACTGCATCTGCATTTAATTCTACTTCACGTTGTAGTTGTACAGAACCTTTAATTAACTTAGCAGTAGTAGCCATATCCCTCATCTCATCATGATCAACCAAAGACAACTGTGAAGTATCATGATCATTATCCCGAATATTCAATTTACCATCGTCTATCTGGTCGACTTAATCATTTTCAAACTCTTTATTAACTGAGGTGTATGATATTTGTTCCTCCTCACAAATCCCTAAAGATTTTATACTTATGCTTTAATTTTTGTAGAACCGTGCTCTTCGCAACTGAGTCAAGATTAATGTGTGCTTCGTGGTCAAATTTGTGCGACTTTGCCAATCCCGTCATTGGGAAAGGACTTAGAAAGAGTGTAGAGATTGTATGACCCGCGATGTCCTGCGCCTATTACACAGAAGGCCGTATCTGCTATGTTTGAGCCAGAACATATTTCAACCACCGTCAGCCTTACTGAGCTATAAATCCCGTAACTAGACCGTGTCTGAGACTTAGCGATAAGCTATTCTGGAGAACTTTCGTCCTGGGACAGTCATTAGCACAGTGCTCCGAAGCATCGCGCCCCACGGGACTCACAAACCACGAGTTTCATCTCTGACAGATAAGAATAGCCTGGCATACTAAATGTGTGCTCGACAACCCCTGGAACGGCGTCTTATTGCACTTAACAACTGGGGGTATTCTGAGGAGCGGAAAGCATGTGACAAAAATGAACCAGGACTAATGTTGCTTGGGGGAATAAAAGTGAATCCTGATGTACTGCAACACGAAGTCTGCAAATATTACGTCAGTGGTGTTACGGCCATCACACGAAAAACTCTCACAAATGTATGAGCTCTCAGTCTTCGACCGAAATCAAGGACAAAACGGAGTTTTTCCGAATGGATTTGAATTAAAATTGAAATAGTCGAAGAGTCCGCAAGATTTGTCGTTCCATTTAACAGAAAACCTTCATTTATGGGGCTATCCGTCATCCAAATATCACGAGCGTGATGGCTGAAAACGAAATAGCTCGCGGTCAACGAGGATGTGCATTAGAACAAAAAATGTACGACAGTCCATAATGAACCGCAAATGGTGTAGTTTACACAACAATGGAATGATATATAAAGTACAACTTCAGTATCATTTTTGACGCAACATTGGAGAATCGAATACTTTATCTGACGTCTTTATAAAGGAATTCTGCTTTAAAGTCGACGCAATGGCAGTTAGAAGTACTTAGTTTTTAGTTTTTTCTGAGATCATAGAAAATATTCATATATACTTTGCGCCTCACGATGCACAAAATCATTGCACCCAAAAGACCTGGTGGAGACGTGAACCATTTGGAAAGAGTCCAAAGACGGGCCACAAAAGGGGTGATAGATCTCCAGAACAAATCGTATGATTAGCGGTCACTGACAGCATAGTGGTGTCAAAAGTACGACCTATAAGATTGCGAACGACCAGAATCACCCGAACAAAGGTATTCTGCCATTATGTATGTATGGGTCACCTCGTAACAATCCACGAAGGATAGCTCACCAGAGGGAAAGGACTGGAGTGCGTTCCATTTCTTTTCAATGCGAGTTCACCGTCCCCGGAACAGTTCCTCGGCGGATGAAGCTACGGTGCCGTCCGTGGACACCTTTAAGCGAAGGCTGGAAAATCAGGCAGCAACACGAGGACTATGTTCGAACGGCCTATCCCCTTTAAATCCCATATGCCATCCATGGGTAGACACCTGAACTCATCGGTTCACTCCACATTCCCTCTTGTCTTACTCTCCTGACCACTCTAACTATTACATTCCCTACACTATTGATGTTATAGGTATATATATATATATATCAATTTCAAATTTGATCAGCTGTCCGCTCTTACGTTTTCCTTATATCTTTATCTGTCTTTTAGTCGACATAACCTACACTAATTTTATCTGTTGTTATTATTATCTCTTTTCTTTTGACCACGATACCGAAGCACTAACTGGTGGAAGGATTAATTCTATTCACAGTGGCAACACTGTCTTAACAGACTGGATACTACAAACTACATATAATTGATCCCAGCACCAATCACTTTTGAGTCAACCAAGGCTACGAGACGAACGGCGGGACTAACTAAGCGGAAGCTAACGAAAGATCAGAGACCTTCACCTCACAGCCAAGAAGCAAGCACGAAAAAATCGAATTGGTTTACACTAGTTCGTAAGAAGCGATATTGTATATTGGAACGTTCTCCATTTTCGTTTATAATTTTCGGGACCAATAGCCTTGAGTGTGGCAAACATTTGAATGATGTAATGTTATTATTGAATATGATTGTTCTTCTCGTGGCGGTAGCTGTGGGAGCATTTAGTGCTTCGCTGATCAATGGGGACTATAGTAGCGATGTTTGTAATTCCCAACAAGAAACTTTTGAGCCGATCATTAAAAATGAAAAAGCTTTGGAAGTAGTAGGTTTCATTTAAAATTAACTTCCACAGTTTTACTTCGTGAACGATACCAAAAAAACGATACAGTTGACGTGGGCAGGTGAAAATAGTGGAGTACGTACTATTACATTTAATCTAAATTGTTAGGTCTTAATTCTGGTAACAATGACTGAGGGTGAATCTGGTCCAGGTTTGACTTCTGATATCTACCGTAGGTAAGAGGAAGGGATTTTAATATATTTTAGTGACAATAACGGCAAAACGTTCACCAAAATAACTAGAGAGTTGGGCGAAAATATCTATATACGGCGGGAGAATGGCTTGCAGCGCCACCAGAATCAGAGGGATTCGAAAGAGGTAATTTTGTCTTAACTAACCTTCGAGGAGAAACGCAGCTATTCGTTATATGTTACGATGTAGAAAACATGAGCAAATCTATGATATTTGTTACAGAGGATGGAGGTTCGACCTGGGAAAGGTCTAGTGTACCATTTGTCTTAAGTGGTCAGTTGCGTTTCTATCCCCGTGAAAGACTTTCGCCATGGGTCTTAACTTTGGAAGAAAAAACCTCTGTATGTGCGGCCATTGTGCTTAATGTAACTTATTCAGATTCTGTATCTTTCCTTGGACAACGGAAAAACATGGAGGAGCATTCACGAGAATGTTGTAGATTACTTTTGGTTTGCCAAATATTAGTTTCATCTTATTCAATCTAGGTCCATTTATGAGTCGGATCCAGGCGAGACCATATACATACTTTATCAAACACCGCTGAGTAAAAGTAAGTTGCTTTGATAATCTCTGAACTATTTTTATCATGTTATTCCGATTTCATTTGAAAAATATAGCATCCAGATTATTTTCTAAGTTGCAAGAGATGTTCGGTCGAACCGAATCATACTTCTCCAAATAAAAATACAGCTAATTAGTATAAGTCTTAATTTTTGAGGAAAACGTATAACACTTTGCGGAATCGGCATTATTATAGAAGTAGGAGTGTCGGCTGAGAACAAAATTCTCCTAGATTAACATATTGTGCGCCTGTGTGAAGATGCATAACATTTGTTTTGGATGACAACAAAGCAACATCTTTATGTCTACTCAGCCAGTCAGATTTTGCATAGACCATCCTGGAAGATGTGATAAATAACTGTTGTCTGTACAGTTCGGTTTTATACGACATTCGCACAGCTTAGCAGTGTTGCATAATCCACCTTGGTTAACTGAGTGTAGCTGTGTGAATGCATTGCATATTTTTGGAGTGTATGGATGTGTTATAGCTTTGAGTGTTGTGAAAAATAAGATATTTTCAAACATTTACGAAGAATTACGTGAGGAAGTTGTTGGCTTTGGGCTGTCATTGCCTTCTGTTCCAGTTTAACTGTTTTTGGAGTTTTCGAGTCGTATAGATGTTACCAGACCGACAATGGGGATGTCTACCAAGATATATTCTTTCGTGAACTTAATATTATCTGACCTTTGTAAATTTCAGTACGATGCCAACTAAATCTGGCAATTTTTATGTATATCAACAACGTGTACCGTTTTTCTCACCTAATTGTTTTTCTAGAAAAATTTTCTTTTTTTCGTACTTGAAACTCCTGAGATTGTTTTAGTGTACTAACGGTTTAAACAGTTCAGGTCGCTTCAAGGCAGTGAAGGAAACATTGCGTGTTTCAAATGGCCAATGAGAAATCACAAAGAAAATTAGTTTTGCACTTTGATGCCAGGAACACTTTATTTCTCTCAGACAAAAGCTACAGATTCACTGTGGAGGAAGCTTTAAATTCATACATCACTGGAATTGTATGGGGTATGTTTGAAGTGCCATTCAGTTATTTTTTTATATGAAAACTGTGTTTAGAGTTGATTTCTTTGTTATTAAGTTTTGATATTAGAATACTTTCATGCTAAAGCATGATTGTAAGGAAAATCCTGCATATTAACACACATTTTCATTTAAATATATATATATAAATCTATAGGTATCATAATATCATGACAAACTATAAATTCATAGGTTTTCAGTGATACATGATGTAGACCTCCATCATTAAGTGATGAATATCGTTTTATTTTTTCTCTTATACTTCTGTTAAAAGTAAACGTGTTATTTCGATGTCGCTTCAAGCTTTAATTTGAAGTGTTTACTGGGATTCTGATGATTCTGAATTCTATCAAGCTGACTTCACTTGTCATTATTAACGTCTAAATCAACCATAATTTTAGAGATAAAGTGATAAAAAAATAGAAGTTTAGGTACTAGTTTTCATCCTAAAGAAGTATTTAAAAATATGAAGCGTTTTCGTAGTTTTAAAAATGCCTGTTATAGGCATAATTTCGGCAGATTAGTGTCAAAACGATTTCTTTCAACTTATTATTGGATTGTTCATCTAATGGTACGGAAATTGATATAATTTGAATAATTTCAATGGCATCCTAAAGCTATATAGCAAAGTTGAATTTTTTCAGTTCATCTTGTTCGTCGGTATTTACGGAACCATAAACTAGCACAGACTTATTGTAATCGACATTCATTTTTTTAAAAGTAAGTAACATATTTCAGTTTCTTTAGTGTATTCAAAGGAGGTAATATAACCTGTCAAAACTCATGGATTACAGCAGTTTAATTCCATGTAAAATAATTTTTCATGTTATTTCTAATTTTTTTCTGTGAATCGGAACTTTTTTGCGTAGTTAGGAGAATACTTTTGTAAAATACCGTAGCGCAGAATGAAACACAAAAATATATGCTTCCAATACACTCAAATCAGTGCATTTGAAGACTGTACACAACTTAAACCCAATGTCCTATAATGTATTTTAATTTGGAACAAGAAATACCAGTTATTGAATTGAATTTTTGATTTTTCCGTCGATTGATTGGACCGAAGTGCTTGGTCTCAGGTTGACATGTCGGCTTCTTGTGCAGATGCTTCGACGATGTCTGGGTATTTAGTTAGTATTTAACTGGTGGATGATGGTGACTAGCAGTGGAATCCAGGATGCGCATTTCGTCCTATTTGGGACTCATCATCTGGATGTACCTGCATTTCTCAGTGAGTGATGATGTTCCCACCGAGTCTCGAACCCATAGTTTCAAACGCCGAGGCGTCATCCACTAGACCACTTGGGACACGAGAGCCACCTCTTGTGCAACCTGAGACCGAGCACTTCGGTCCAATCAATCGACGGGAAAATCAAAAATTCAATTCAATAATTAATATGACCCGTTGCACAAGAGGTGGCTCTCGTGTCCCAAGTGGTCTAGTGGATAACGCCTCGGCGTTTGAAACTATGGGTTCGAGACTCGGTGGGAACATCATCACTCACTGAGAAATGCAGGTACATCCAGATGATGAGTCCCAAATAGGACGAAATGCGCATCCTGGATTCCACTGCTAGTCACCATCATCCACCAGTTAAATACCAGTTATTTTGAAAACGCCATTAGTCATCAAATGGTGTATATATATCTTTTATTAGGCAGTATATAGTGCAGCGCAACCCTACTCACATTTAAATTGGTGAAATAAGTTACTTCGATTTCGCCAAAACTGTTTGCTTTTAGGTTTTGCCACACATTACCTTTAAAATCTGACAATACGCAGTTCTGTACACGACGTCACATTTTTAAGCATTTACGGCAATATACAGCCTACAACAGTTTTTTTCCAAATAAAGACCTCAGTGGTTACTGATACGACTTACTTTTGCTTAAAAGGCTATTCCTAGTTTACTATTGTCCTGGTGTGATAATTTTGTATCTCATGGAGGTCATTGAGGTCCTCAGAGAAACTCATGGATTTTGAACTAAATTATACACTCGAACAAAAGACCCGGCAGGCACATTTTTAGATGTCTTTTTCTCCAAAAGGACTCAAACAGAATTCTCAGTACTTAGAAATATTTCTTCAGACCTTGGTTATTTAATGAATTAACCATATAAGGCCTACCTCTGAAGAAAGTAGCTAGTGACTTCAGATAAAGGGAGCTTATATGCTGTGTTTTCTTGCAATCATTTTTTATTTTCTACCCGACTCCAGATACGCTTGCATGCATGCATGCAAAAAACACAAGAAAGACAAGTCCCAGGCTTAAAATTAAGTTTCATCTAGATGCACTGCGTTATACTATAGTTTTCTTCAATCTAATCAAGCTGATTTCTCAGAGCTGTAAACCTCATTGACTAACATCAAATATATTTGGCACAAGTGGAAAAAGTTCAGTATGGTAACAAAGGGTGTTCTTCAGTGTATTAAGTAAGCTATAGAAAGTACAGTTGCACCTGACAAGCTTTCATGGTCTAAAACTTCGAATATTTTTCCTGTGTGTTAATAAATTGGTTTGCTTTAGTGATTTTTAAATTAATTTTTCTCCAATGCATTCTTCATCCCTAAAACTTACATCGCGTCGCATTTATTCACTGGAAAATTGAATTGCGACGCCACATGTTTACTTTTACCCAACGCTGCTAAGTGTGTGTGGTTTTCAAAATAGTGAACGGTATAATTAAGAAAGAAATCAAAATATGTTGAAGATTTGACTTGTGTTTTAGATATTACGCGAAAGTTAGTCAGAGATTACGCCATCTGTTTCTTTCTTAGAAACTGAGAGAATTTTCTCCTGGGATTCCTCTCCCCGTTTCTTTTCATGAAACTACAAAGTAAAGTTTAGTTTCTCGTTCAAAGGTCTACCTGTTTTCAGAATTTGGTTCTCGTCACATCACAAAACTAAGCATATGCATTCATTCTACTTTTGGAAATAACACTGAGTACGTTTGCACTCTGAATAAGGAGCACAGTTGGTGGCCTTAGAAACCGATCACTCTAATAAGCAAAAAAATCATTTTTTTTATTGCAGCTTGATTCCACATAGTATTTTTTGGTACAGGTATGTGATATCGGTAGCCCAAATTTTGCAGGCCGACCATAGATATCAGGTGTGCGTCGGCAGAGGATCGAACCCCGGACCATGTGCATGATCGGTGAGAGTCCTAACCGCTGTGCCACCGAGTTGGTAAATGTTCTCTAATCTTAAGATCATAAAGACTCTTGAGAAATGTTCAATAATTTCTACTGTACTGAACAAATACTTTCTCGTTACAACAACTATATCGGCTTTACTCAGGTTTATTGTACCGTTAATTCAGTGTTTTTACCATGGAAAATGTTAGTATGTGTTGATAAACGTGAGTATACTTACAGCACTGTTCCTACTATTTACTTCAAAACAGTAAAAACTCCAAAATATACATCTCCAAGGTATTCCCTCATTATCTGTGAAATTATATTTCACTTCATCCGTTAGGTTATGTGTCCCAGTATCATAATATCAAATCAAATTAACTCAAATTGTGATATTTCGTTGACTCAAATAGTTGTAATATCCTTCGAAGAAATCCATTTTCTCACTGCCAGATTCATATTTTGATCTATAATATCATATAATTCGGTCACCATTACACATTCTGAATAAAGTGAGATAGACTGCCATCGTTCTATCTGTGAGACACTTCAATCGGACTGTATGTCTAAAACATGCTGCTCTAATATAAGTATATATAAACAGGGTTTTATTCGACACTGCTGTCACTCTTATGAATTAAGTGCATGCAAAAGAAGTATATTTAACTTACATTGAAATATATGACATCAAATAGTTCGGTCAATTCTTTTGACAAGAGACTGAATCTTAAATTAATATATTAAGTGTGGAATTCACTAGTGGTCAGTTTTCAGCGTCTCTGTTATAAGTGAGCTTTCCTTGTGCAGAAGCAAAAAGTAAGACAACTAACTAAACTCAGTGTTCCAGACTACAGAAGCATAGAAAAAGGTCATATTAAATGTCTTCTTAAAGAATGCCATTTTAAGTTTTTTTATTTACGATAATATGGCACTTATGACTAAACAGACGTAAAGGATGAAGATGTGACAAATTTTCACAGATCAAATCGCTTTCCATGGAATTACGGAAGCTATGGATTTGAACTAGATCTTTGTACGTATGTTATAAATATTCTCCACCAACAAGTATATGACTGTATTCGGCTCTCATTAACTCTTATACTTCTTATGTTCATTATTGGAGGCAGTTTTGAGACGAAGAGATGCTATCAGAAGACTTAAGCTGTTAACACTTCAGTGATAAGCATAGAAAAGGTATTTCCATTGGACTGTAATGCAATTTTAAAATATGAATTGTAGTGTCCTGAGAAAGACTGTTATGGATAGGATTAAAACAAAAATATATGATAATGCCGACGTTATTTTAGGACACATAATGTTTTATTTACTGTTTCACTATTTCTGCGCACTGTAGTTTGATATGGTAAGGAATTTATGAAGTACTCTAAGGCTTATCTTAGTACACGTATGTGGACATATTTAAATTAGTAGAGACTTCTATATTAACAATGCTGCTTTTCGCTATAATCTGTCTTTCTGAATATACGCCCCCAGACTAAACTTAAAAACTTATTTTTCAAGCTACTGTATTTCAAATATTCCAGAATTTGATTTAAATTAATTCTCAATGGACTTTTCACCGATTTACGAGAAATAGGGAACGGAAGACAGGGATCTATTTCTTCTGTTTACGATTAAGCAAAACGTACCTAACCTCTACTCTCACTTTTTAATTTGTAGTGAGGTACACTTTTTCTCCAAGATTTAACTTAAATATTTTAATTCTGGACATTTCTTGTTGAAATAAGTTTAGGATATTCTTCCAACCAAATGTAAAACGTGGCTGTTTGTCTTCATATATATATATATATATATGACCGGGTCGAGTGTATCTAGGATAAACTAC